CCCACTCAAATCCAAACAGATAACACCCCAAAAAAGAACCCCAACACATATACTGTACACATGTATCCCTGAGCAAGTTTTATGTAATAAAGAGGACAAACAAGGACGAAGGGAGTTGAACACACTCAGCAAAGGCATTGTTGTGGTCCAGTTTCCACAGTCTCCAGGGGCCGCAGTCCTGTTTTCAACTGTGTTTGTGTTTGCAGCCGGTGTATTTAGCATTCTTTCCTGACATTGTTTACCATAAAAAGAGCTGCTTTTCAATTAAAATATGAGATAAAAAAATAAAAAAACAGAAAGTCAGGGTGGGATGCAGGTTCAGTATGCTAATGTCGCCTGGCTGAGGGCGCCCTCACACAGGCGCACACCGCCAAACAATGGGAACCGCAGCGAGTCGAGGAGAGTGAGGCAGAAAAAGGGAGGATGTGTGAAGTGAACAGCCACAAACATGAACTAAAATAGGAGACGAGGAGAGGAAGAGGAAGCAATAGGCAGGTCGTCTACACGGGGCCCCCTGCAGTCCTGTAAACAAGCGCCGATCACGTGTCATGCTGTAGCGCGTAAACAAGACATGGAGCCGCCGTCCAGTCACTGTCCAACGTTTTTTGGGACACTATTTTAGCTTTATTATCTTCATTTTGTTGTATTATTTTAACAGATAATTGGGTTTAAGTGAGATTTGATTATCCAAGAAAATAAATATAATTCACAGGTGAATATTCTCTAATAGTTTTTTTGCTTTAAATTTAAAATGTAAGATATAAATCTATCAAATAAATACATTTATTGTAGTTTTTTTTATTTATTGTCCAGATTCCTATAAAAACATAGAGTTAAAAATGATAATCCTGTGACCTGTGTTGGTTACCATCTGGACATTTATTTTTTTTTTTGTACTGTTTTGTAGACTGAGGATTTAATTCACCAAAAGACCTGTGGAAAAAAAATCAGGTATTGTAAACTGTGAACCACAATAGTTTGTAACTCCAGTGTTTGATGTCTTTTGTTTGGATTTACCTCAGTGACGCAAATGCACCTAAGCCAGCTGTGGAGCAGCAGCGTCCGTGTCCCTGTGAGCTAAAACACTTCATACTGTTTATTCTTCTCCAACTGGAGGTTGTCTTGCAGCAGGACAATGCTGTAAACATATTTGGAGGACCTCATAGACTTCTGGTAGTGTTTAGAATGTTACTTCTATGAAGAGGATCAAATCTCCATAGCGTTGCCATTGGCAGCAGTCTCTGAAAACCTGACGTGCAGTAGTAGTAGTACTTAATTCTTACAGTATGTAGTATTTTATACAACAAAAGTATTAGCCTACACTTCTGTTTTTAAAAAAAGGTTTCATGATGAGATTATTATTAATACGACACCTGGACTGACCAGAAAAAGTTCCGTTTTATTCGTCGACGTGCGGAGAACCAGGTCGGCTCTGCTCCTGTCTGACTGTAGCTCCGATAACAGACACGTCAGTGTGAACGCTCATTTGTCAACACCCAGGTTTGTAGAAACAGGGAAAACTTTAATGACCCAGTTGCCTGTGCTCTCAGGGGCAAGTTTAACATCAGCCCCGTGTGTCTCGGCGTGGAGGCAGCACGCAGGGGTACGAGGAGGGGGCACGAAAGGGTCGACTTACGGGTGAAAAGAAAGGTATTTTTAGGTTGTTTGTTTAGGTAATCTGCATGTAGCTCCCAGACGACAGCCTGTCTGGGGCCGCCAAACACCTTCCATTGTGTGTGCCTGTTTGTGTGTGTGTGTGTGTGCACGCACAATAGCGTACGTCTGCGCGTCCCTGAGAAAACTGTTTGCACCATTGTGTATTAGCATAGTGTGTGTGTGTGTGTGTGTGTGAGGGCAGTTTGACAGGGTACATAAAACCTTTCCTGGGTCACTAACTCTTCAACAGCACATGTCAGTCCAATGACGGTCTGCTGGTCTCCACTGTGGCTGTCGCTGCTCTGACCTCTGACCTCTGCCAATGTCACTCGCGGCAGACCACTTTCTCCCCGCTCCGTCCCTCCCTCTCTCTCTCTAAGCGGTAACAAGGTCAGCGTTGTCGTGAAAGAGAAACTCTCCCCGACTTGAAAGTATGTCAGCTCCTTCTCGTCTTCGTCTGCCGTGACTTTGCTCTGTGTGGTTTCTTTAGCTGCAGCTTCCATAGGACATACAGAATTATCTATATTGTTTATACAAACAAATTCATTAGTAATTAATTAATAGTAGAATTCTCCATATTTTCCCCAAAAAACTTTCAACAACAAAAACTTTCTATAAGTTTGATGTAAACACATTTTTAACACTAATAACGTTAACTGTTAATCATTAACATATTTCATATCTAATTAATACTAATTCATCAATAATGTTATTTTTACATTTTTAGAAATATCCACATTGGGGTTTTTCATCGGACAGAAAACACCATATTTCTATGGTTATTTATTATTTGTGCTTTGACTCTAATGACGTCAGTCATCTTCGTTTGTGTTTATATTTATATTAATATGTTTAATTTGTTATTTATTCTTAATTTTTTGCCTAAAGAAGAAATGCAGCGACCAACAAATGTACACAATTATTTGACAAAACAGATGTTGGAGCAGCTGATTGCTTGTTTACTCCGTTGTGTGTGTGTGTGTGTGTGTGTGTGTGTGTGTTGTTAGCGTGTTGCACCTATGACCACAGTCTTGGCTGCAGGCTGCGGGGCGTTGCCCTCCCTCACCCCAGGCTAGTTGAACCTGGCCTTGCAGGGGGAGGAGGGAGGAGGGGTGAGGGGTGAGGGTGGTCTGTGTAAAAGGAGCCCAGGGTTAATGACTGCTGCATGGACAGGGTTACTCTGCTAATGTGTAACATTTTAGCCTTTTAGCTTTGATGTGAGGACAGACATGCAGGCGCAGCGATGATGGGGGAGAAGACAAACAAAAAGAACCTGGAGATGTGAACTGGTGTGTGGGCTCCACTGGAGGAGAGCCAGACTTATGTCTGCTGGTTTTCCTTTTCAGACATTTTCTTTTTTTCACACATTCTCTATCTTAATCACACTGTGTTCTTTTCTTATCTCTTCTTATCTATATGTCGTCTTTCATCTGCGAGTTTTGGTAAACGGCTCCAAAGAACTTCAAACGAGACACTGATGGTTTCTTTTATAGTTTGGAATAATTGTTTCATTGTAATTAATTGTGAGCGTTGAGATTTAGTTTTTTTTTTAAACTGTCTATTGACCCACAGTCATTCTAACCTCAGCTCTCTATGTTTATATTAGGAACACAACACATACAAAACTTCACAAAGAAAATCACAACTTTAACAGCCTCAAGTAATTCTGTTAGCTAATGCACTCTTAATCTCTGAGTCTAATTGTATTATTTTTTGTATGAAACCAAATCAACGGTTCTTTGGCGAATGATTCCACTGAGGACCAACAGGTCTAGATTTCTAGACTTTACTGTAAAAGTACGTAGTTGAAGCTCAAACGGACCCACAGCCTCTGGCAGAGATATTGACAGTAACATCAGTCACAGCAGCCAGGAGGTCATGACACAACCTCACGAGACTTGTTCAAAGAGCCATCAGCGTCTCTACTCATAAGCTCTCACTTCACCTTTCACACCTGTGGCCGTTTATCAGGGAATCATAAGACGGTGAGTTCCTCCACACAACCACGTCTCCTTTTCTTTAAATCTCCTCTTTTTCCTTCTCTTTATTTCTGCCCTGTTTCTGTCTCTTTGTCTTACATTCCTCTGCTCAGTTCACTCAGTCTCCTTCTCCGTCCTCTTCCAGCCGTATTTGACAGCTCGGTGCGGATCACGAAGGATCAAGGTTTCTAATCCCCGAGACGTGCCCGAGCGTGGACACACCTCCGCCTCGGGCCGGAGATCAGCGGCTTCGGATTCCCCAACAATCTTGTGAGACGTCCGCATCCCCATATTACATTCCAGCCGTCCTGCAGAGGAGCTGCACCTCAGCGCGCTTCCTACAAATGTAAGTTTGCTTGTTGGTGCACGTGAACATGTGGTCACAGTGAGGCACGAGCCATCCGATCTCAAAGCCCTGGGCCGCAACCAGGAATAGGAACGACAACAAGGAGTGTCAAGTCATTCCCCAATGTTTGGAGTTTCCTGACAGGATATTTTCATACCTTCCCTGCTGAGATCCACATCACTGCTGTTATATATATATATATATATATATATATGATATATATGTTGCACTAACTCTTGAATAATGACAGAGCAGATACATTATTTGTACAAGGACTAAGATTGTAAAAAAAGTCGGGTGGATGGCTACAATGAGTTAAAGTTAATGACTAACTATATGAGTATATATTTGAATATACTACATATTGGTTACAAAAACATAGTTGGGTCATCAGCTAATGTTTGGGATTCATT